TCTTCATTTCTGTTCGATTGTCGTTAAATTCCACTATCACAACTTGCACAATCATCATTATACTGTTGTTGACTACTTCCTCTATAGGCACTAACAATAACAGTACCACGATTTTGATCACGACATTGTTGTCGGGTTAGTTTCAGCACGACGAGCAACCCAAGAAGTCTAATTGAAACAATTCAATAGAATTACTGAAAGTATCAAACTATTTAGCATCTGATATATAAATATAAAAACAAATGGTGGTAGTGATGACTCATCAATCTATATGTAGGTTTTTTCTCGACATGATGGTGAAGTTCTGTATTGTGTACCTATGCGATTTGAATAGTACGCAATACAACATAATGATATATACGCCATTAGATATAGGAAATCTTGGTTTACAAACCTACGTAAATTTTGTTCTTGGAGTCAAATACTTGTCGTCGCTATTTATGGTTTTGTTTATATCTCAGAATATGAAAGACTAGATAGTCTAGTACTTTCACTAATTTTGAAGATAATTTGATATGAATCTCAAGACTTGTTTTAGACCTATTCTAATCTCAACAATACTTCTCTAATGATTAAAGATGTATCTCAAAAGTAATTTTGTCATTTGTTAAAATTTATTCATAAGATTTTTATTTTTCTACTTACTTGTCTTAATTCTATAAGATCTTGAATCATAAAATGAATACGTACTGATGTTTTCTGTTCTTTAACAATAAAATCTAATTCATGATAATGTTTTTCCAGAGTGGATTTATTTGCAGGCTAGAAAAACAAAAAAAAAACAAAAGCAAGCTCAATAATCAAATAGAAAATAATCTCTTTTCAAAATAATCATTCTTTTTCATTAGCTTTAGTGTCAAGTTCTTTACCAATAGTACGTAAAAGACGATATAAATATTCAAGACTTTCTTCACCAGTTTTATCACGAAGTAGATATTCAATACAATCATACATGATACTCTCGGTTAACATTTGTAATTTAAATAGTTCACTAATAAAACTAAAATAAATAAAGATTTACTTTTTTTTTTAAATATTATTATCATACAGAAATGTGCATTAGTGTTCAACAAATTTTCTTACTAATACATCAAATTTAATACTATACGAGATTTTAATGATAAGAAGAAAAAGAAAGGCTAACTTTAATTTTGGCAATGTGTCATAGGAAACTTCATATGTCAAAAAACAAAATATTGCCTTTTCGATTGATCAGAATATTTACGAAATCGAAGAGAAAAAATCCAAATAAATATTTTAAGGAATCTTATGAGACAAAACTCAAAAGTGTTCGAGTGGAGATGTGTGAGTAATAGTTTAAGGGTGGGTATCCTTGAAGAGAAGATTCACAACAGCGCACCCACATCCAAACCTCAGCTCCAATCCCGGATGAGACTGTATATAGAAAAATTCTTCCGACAGAATATTCGGGAATCGAAAAGAAGTTTCTCTCACACAGCACTACTAATGTACTCTGTGCATAAACTTTTAATTTTAGAATAGTACTCGTCTGAATGATCTCCACGATATGTTTTCGTTTTTAATATTAGTTTATAGTTCATAAATATACTTACACGATAATAAGATCTTCTTCTATTTTTTTTTCGCTTCTTCTTTATGTTTTTTTTCATCTGTCATAATTTCAATTTCAGTTTTGCTTTTTCATATTCAATTTTTTGTCAATAATCATTTTCGAATTCTTCTTGACAACGTGTTAATAACATTTGAGGAAAATAATGTGTGATTAGTTTACCATTTTCATCTGGTACAGTGGCTTCTTTCTAGAAGAAGAAAAACCAAATAAATCAAAATTATACTTTTTGAACTTGTTTACATAATTTTGCATATAGAAAACTGTAGAGTGGTTCATCAACAGTCTGAGAAAACAACAGACTTGTTGAAAATTAATAGAAGACTAACAAGAGAATTTACTTTATAATAAAATAGCGTAAACATTTCTTTTAATCGTTCATAACGATCGATTTCTAATGCTTCAAGCTTTTCCTGTGTAATTTATCATATGTTTGTAATGTTATTTTATTTAATATTGTTTTAACATCACGTAAAATTTTATTGTTAGCATCAATTTTATTTCAATCACTTGGTCTATAGGAATTTTCAACACGATTACAAAAATCAGGTTCAGTTGATAAATCAATTTCTGCTTCATGTCTTGAATTTTTTGAATGATTCAGTTTATTTTGATTATGTGTTAATGATGGATGATTGCTTGGTCATAATTGTGGGGTGTGGGTGTGGATGTTGTGTTGGAGAAGGAGTCACACCACACCTATGCCCTTATTAATTGATCTTTTACCAACGTTTACTCTATTTTTTCATGTAAAAATTTCTTGACATTAAGAATATGTTTAAA